ACATCGTAGCCCTAGCAAGAGAAATTAGTTCACGATAAAAGAAAAGATAAACAAGAGAACTGTTGTCATAAAACTAATTTGGCAAATGGATTTGATCTTCGGATTCTCCAAAGCAACACCTTCGTAAGCTCCAAAAGCACTGCGACAGTAAATTCTTGGCTCTCTCTCTGATATATTTGTAAGTGTATGAAAGTTGTATATGGGAAGATGATAGTCCATAGAGAGAGCTTAGGGTGACCTTATATAGGGTAAAACAACTAAACCCTACTCCAAAAAGGTTTGGAAAAGCTCTCCTGAAACTAAACAAAATCCCAAACAATTAAGGAAACAAACTATTCTTTGACTTGGAAACACATCAGCCAACTTGCACGCACGTTTTGGGGTCGTTCGGAAGGAAACATGCATTTAATGCTTAGGAAATGAACTTTAGCCACAACCTATACAACAAAAACATTCTAAATTGCGGATTCATTTTGTTTATACTAGTTGAGCTAAACCTTTTTCATTTTAAACCAAGTATCTTAGCCTAGTCTCTTTGAACACAAATAGAAAAAGAAAAAATGGAATATATCTTTACCCTTGATGACCTTTTCTTGATTTCTCAAGAATGAACACCTTTATTGGAAAGGTCATTTGTTTCCCTTGATTGACTCCTTCACCTTAAGGCTCCAAGATTGGAGTCCTCTACCTCACCACACCAAATGCTCCTAGAGATGAAGAGAAGGCAATCAAGAAGTATGGATGCTAGTCTACTTCTTGATTGGACCAATTTTTGGTTTATGGAAGATGAGATACAAAGATGATCACTCATCAACCAAAGTAGGAAACCAAAAACCCTATCTAGGTTTTCTCCAACACTTAGCTTATATAGGACAACACAAAAGGCAATTGGGTGCGTATTTGGGGCTCCATTTGATCCATGGGTCATGTCATCTTATGCCACATATCCCTTGGGCCCAATAGCCTTTTGGGCTGTTTTGTCTCTTTCCTTTTAAATCTTATTTAAAAGCCTAATCTAATATTTCTATATGTCAATATTAATTCCATAATTAATCTTTTAATTATAATTCAACTATTAAATTATAATCGTAGTCTTACTTAATGAACCTGTTTGAACTATTTGACTTTGGCCAATTGCTTCGGTCAACATGTTGACTTTAGACAGTTGACTATGACATTTGATTGTCAACCATTGACTTATGTCACCTCATTTCATTTCTCCTTATTTGTACCTCTAATCACATTCTTTGGGTGTGCTGATCCGTAGGTTCCCTTTAGCAAGGTAGTGGGTTGACTCAACTCCTCAGAGATAATATACGAATTAAATTCCACAATTTAATTCTTCCTATTAATAAAGGTTAATTGAAACCTTGTAGGACATCAACAAACCATGGTTGTTGCCTAGCAGCAAGTCACGGTTATCGAAGCTAAATGAGACGTTGTGAAAGAACCTATTCAAATTGGAATGACCGTGCAATTGAATCATTCTCTTATGTCAATACTCCTTATTCACATTATTAGATCATGGAAATATCCTAATGTGAATCATTTCTTTTATATGATTATCCTGGTAAGATTTGAAAACTTCTTCTTTCGAGTCTTATTCACTACTCTGCACAGAGATTTGACCAATCATATCTTCAAGTATTCTCTCTCTTTTACTGAGAGTAGAGATTCATTGTTGTACAGTAATTTGCTTCCATGACTCTATTAAGAGTCCTAATGAACACCTTTAAGCTATGCCTAATTTAATATGACTATATAGTGCCCTCAAAGATTAACAACATAGCCACATAACATCTATGATGCCTCAAGTCTAAGAATTAGTTTGCACCATTGCAATTTATGAGTTCCAGCTTGACATGTGAGTAAAGACTTCCATGTTGTAATTCATGTGTTGGATCGCGTTCAATGTACTTGTTCTTTTACAAGCACTATCAAACATATCGATGTGTCTCCGCACTTAATGACTTGAGACCTTGCCATTCCCTACATATAGAGACGATACTAAGTGTACTAGTCTTTGCGGAATATTGATGCCCAACCAAAATTCCTATGATTAGGAATCAGGATTTCAGGGATGATGAGAAGTCTCCATGTATGCAATCTCATTACATAGCTCTTATATCCACTTATGTATTCCTTGGACTATGGTTGTTCTATTGAAAGATAATATAGGATGATTTAATGTATAAAACAACCTTTCTTGCCCATTGATAACATAATATGTCTTTTATTAAAGATGTCCTTAACTCTAACTATTACATAATTAGTTGGCTTTAAGGGCATATTTCTAACAATCTCCCACTTGCACTTTAAAGCCAATTTGACATGTATCTAATACCCATCTTCTCCATGTGTCCGTCCAGCTGAAGTTGACTCATAGGCTTTGTGAGTGGATCTGCTACGTTGTCTGCTAAAGCCACCTTGAGCACGCTAATATCTCCATCAACAACATATTCCTTGATTAAGTGATAGCGCCTCTGAATGTCCTTGGATCTTTGATGAGACCTTGGTTCCTTGGCTTGTGCTATATCCCCATTATTGTCACAGTATAAAATGAATGGTGACTCAATGCTTAGGACCACTCCAAGTTTAGTAATGAACTTCCTCATCCAGATCGCTTCCTTTGCTTCTTCCGAAGCAGTTATGTACTCTGCTTTAGTTATGGAGTCCGCAGTGGTGCTCTGCTTGCAACATCTCTAACTGATTGCCCCTGAACACATATCTAGAAGTGGATTTCCAATCATCAACATCATATTCGAAATCTGAGTATGTATATCCTTCCACCAGTAATTCTAGGTTTCCTCCATAGACTAGGAACATTTCCTTAGTCCTTCTGAGGTACTTTAACACAGTCTTTACAGCACTCCAGTGTTCTGATCCTGGGTTTGATTGATATCTGCTTGTGATGCTCACACCATAGCTGATATCAGGCCTCGTACACAACATGGCATACATTAGACTCCTAATTGTGGATGCATATGGGATCTTGCTCATCTATATCACTGCTTCTGGGGTTTTAGGGCTCATGCTATTAGACATGTGAATACCATGTCTGACTAGCAGAAAACCTTTCTTGGAATTTTCCATTTGGAATCTTCCGAGTACCTTGTCCACATACAGGGATTGAGATAATCCAATTAGTTTTCTCGATCTATTCCTATATACATTGATACCCAGTATGTAAGGTGCATTTCCCAGATCCTTTATTGAGAAGGTCTTTGATAAAGGAATATGACTGCGCTCCCACTGTTTTTCATGTATACACAAGGTTTATCTTCATTTTGGCTAAAACCATAACCTTTAACGGCTTCATCAAAACAAATGTTCGAACTCCTTGAAACCTGCTTCAGTCCATAGATTGACCTTTGAAGTTTGCATACTTTCTTCTCTTCATGTTTAGATGTGAATCTTTCAGGTTGATCCATGTAGATTTCTTCCTAAAGATGGCCATTCAGAAAAGCCGTTTTCACATCCATCAGCCATATCTTATAGTCATAATATGTTGTTGTGGCGAGAAGTATACGGATGGCTTTTATCATCGCTATGTAATAGAAAATCTCTACAAGAGGGAGTACCTTCGCAAACCTATGGCTAGGGACCTCCGAAGGCTTGTACAAAAACCTAAGGCTCGAGGTTTCCCAGAAATGATTGGAAGCATCGATTGCATGCACTGGCAGTGGAAGAATTGCCCAACTGCTTGGCAAGGAGATTATGGGAATTGAAAGGCCCAAAAAAGTATAATTTTGGAGGCCGTAGCTTCATTTGACACTTAGGTTTGGCATGCCTTCTTCTGAACGAAAGCCAACGATTAAAAAAAATTTGAATTGCGCTCGCTGACGTCACCACTGATGTCAGAGCCTTTGGGCTACAGCCCGATCCAAATTTGCCCGTGGGCTTGCCAAGACTGGTTTTGAAGTCTATAGGCCATAGTGATTGGGAGTCCAAAGTCAATGTGATGGGATTGCATATAATATTAGTCAAGTATACCATGCTTGGTTGCAGACGATTCACTTTCATGAAGCGATTCCGTATTTGAAAAATGAAGAAGATTGGCTGAAATTCCATCTTTGATTTTGAAGGCATTCGGAATTGTAAACCGCATTAAGTCTAAATTGTAAACCGCATTAAGTTTAAAGAGGGCCACGATAAGAGGACCAGACCCCCCTTATTTCATAGCGTTACTATCAAGTGTCTTACTATTCAAATTATCCAAGGAAAATATCATCAAGGGTCTTACTATTCAAATTATCTAAGGAAAATATCAAGTGTCTTACATATTCCAAACACTATTCTCAAATTGACAAAAAAGAAAAAGAAAAAGAAAGAGAAGACAGATTATGAGAACAAACTGTGTGCCTTACATAAGGAAAACATCAAAAAAGACAAAATATAAAGTACATTCTACCCTCTGGAAACTAGTTCCTCTGATAAAATATAAAGTACATTCAACCATATCATCATCAGATTCACAACGACAACTTAAACCCAAAACAACTTCTTTATAGCACCTCTACCCCAAAAGGGAAGGGTAAGGCAAAGGCAAGGTAAAGTGAATAGGTTTGACACCATTCACGTGAATAGTGTCAGCCTTGCCTTTTTTGGGTTCGACCAAGGGCAAGGGCAAACACTATTCACTTTACTTTATTTTCTTTATTTTTTTTTATACTTAACCATTAATTCTGATAAACTTTTTAGATAATATTTTCGGTTGCCACGTGTCACTATTTATTATAAAATTCTCACCTAAAATTTAAGATAACATTTTCGGATAAAATTTTCGAATTAAATTTTGAGATAAGATTTTGGGTTGCCACATGTCCATCAAATTTTAGATAAGATTTACAGATGAGATTTTCGGTTGCCACGTGTCTTATTTCAGAAGTATGATGCTCATCTCTATCTTCTAAATCCCTCTATAAAACTAATATTATATCATGTTTCTTATTTTCGAGAGAGATATAGAATGCAGTCTCATTTGTTCCAAAAAATCATTCATGATATTTGTAATTACGACGCATACTTCGTTCAGAAAGTATGATGCTGTTGGGGTTTTGGGTCTTCTTCCAGAGCAAAAACTTACAACTGCTTTGCGGATACTTGCTTATGGGGCATCTGCAGAGCAGGTGGATGAGATTGCGCGGATGCGAAAATCAACTATCCTAGAGTGCTTGGTGAGATTCTGTGATGTAATAGAAAATCTCTACAAGGGGGAGTACCTTCGCAAACCTATGACTAGGGACCTCCGAAGGCTTGTACAAAAAGCTAAGGCTCAAAGTTTGCCAAGAATTATTGGAAGCATCGATTGCGTGCACTGGCAGTGGAAGAATTGCCCAACTGCTTGGCAAGGAGATTATGGGAATCGAAAGGGCCAAAAAATTATAATTCTAGAGGCCATAGATTCATTCGACACTTGAGTTTGGCATGCCTTCTTCTGAACGAAAGTCAAATTTTTCACGCACCAACAATAAAAAAAATTTGAATTGCGCTCGCTGACGTCAGCGTGACGTCACCGCTGACGTCACCGCCTTCGGGCTACAACCCAGTCCAAATTTGCCCGTGGACTTGCCCGGGCTGGTTTTGAAGTTTATAGACCATAGTGATTGGGAGTCCAAAGTCAATGTGATGGGATTGCATATAATATTAGTCAAGTATACCGTGCGTGGTTGCAGACTTTTCACTTTCATGAAGCGATTCCGTATTGAAAAATGAAAAAGATTGGCTGAAATTTCATCTTTGATTTTGTAGGCATTCGGAATTGTAAACCGCATTAAGTCTAAATTGTAAACCGCGTTAAGTATAAAGAGGGCCAAGATGAGAGGACCAGACCCCCCTTATTTCATAGCGTTACTATCAAGTGTCTTACTATTCAAATTATCCAAGGAAAATATCATCAAGTCCCTTACTATTCAAATTATCTCAGGAAAATATTTCACCCAAAAAGAAAAAAAATTATCTAAGGAAAATATCAAGTGTCTTACATGTTCCAAACACTATTCTCACATTGACAAAAAAAGAAAAGAAAGAGAAGACAGATTATGAGAACGAATTGTGTGTCTTACATAAGGAAAACATCAAAAAAGACAAAATATAAAGTACATTCTACCCTCTGGAAATTACTTCCTCTGACAAAATATAAAGTACATTTAACCATGTCATCTTCAGATTCACAATGACAACTTAAACCCAAAACAACTTCTTTAGAAAATTCAAAAACAAGAGAAGAAGTAGAAATTACATATTCCCAGATCAGTATGAATAATAGCAACATTCAACTTTGAACATAGGTAATTTCTACTTCTTCTTATTCTTTCTATTGTTGCTGAAGGTTGTAGTATACGAGTTGTTTTGTGTTTAAGCTGTATTTATGAATTGGATGTGACCTCTAGCATAGGTAGATACCGAGAAACACCAGGCATTATATGAATTGGATGTGACTAAACATTTTGAGATATGAAGTCTTGTCTTAATGTACAGTTGGTTCATATTGGGATTCTTACGTGTTCGTCACTTAGAGGGTTGTATGAGGTTGCCTTTTACCAATATGACCATGTACAGTTAGGGCATACATGCCATATTAAATAACATCCAAAGACTTTGAGAACTTTGTGGGCCTGCTGGCCCCCCTCTCAAGACTCAATGAGGTATTCTCTTTGGTTTCATTAATGCAAATCTTTCTTCGAAATCAATAATTTGCTTTGTGTGGTTGTTGTTTGCCGACTTCTCAATTTGCATTGATGTTTATATATACACAAAAATCTGTGAGCAACGGCACATACACAACATGCAAGTGCAGCCTTACAACCTAATGGCTCATGCCTTCCTTCTCTTCCTCTTATTCTCTTGGATTACATCTACGAATATTCATGCATGCAAACACACTGAACGCAGCTCTCTCCTGTCCTTTGCCTCCACTGTATCTTCTCCTCCTTTAAATTGGACGACATCCCTTGATTGCTGTCGTTGGAAGGGCATCACCTGTAATCAAGATGGTTGGGTCACCCATTTGCTCTTGCCTTCCAAAGGACCAGACCCCCTTATTTCATAGCGTTACTCTCAAGTGTCTTACTATTCAAATTATCCAAGGAAAATATCATCAAGTGTCTTACTATTCAAATTATCTAAGGAAAATATCAAGTGTCTTACACATTCCAAACACTATTCTCAAATTGACAAAAAAGAAAAAGAAAAAGAAAGAGAAGACAGATTATGAGAACAAACTGTGTGCCTTACATAAGCAAAACATCAAAAAAGACAAAATATAAAGTACATTCTACCCTCTGGAAACTAGTTCCTCTGATAAAATATAAAGTACATTCAACCATATCATCATCAGATTCACAACGACAACTTAAACCCAAAACAACTTCTTTATAGCACCTCTACCCCAAAAGGGAAGGGTAAGGCAAAGGCAAGGTAAAGTGAATAGGTTTGACACCATTCACGTGAATAGTGTCAGCCTTGCCTTTTTTGGGTTCGACCAAGGGCAAGGGCAAACACTATTCACTTTACTTTATTTATTTATTTATTATTTATACTTAACCATTAATTTTGATAAACTTTTTAGATAATATTTTCGGTTGCCACGTGTCACTATTTATTATAAAATTCTCACCTAAAATTTAAGATAACATTTTCGGATAAAATTTTCGAATTAAATTTTGGGATAAGATTTTGGGTTGCCACATGTCCATCAAATTTCAAATAAGATTTACAGATGAGATTTTCGGTTGCCACGTGTCTTATTTCCGAAGTATGATGCTCATCTCTATCTTCTAAATCCCTCTATAAAACTAATATTATATCATGTTTCTTATTTTCGAGAGAGATATAGAATGCAGTCTCATTTGTTCCAAAAAATCATTCATGATATTTGTAATTACGACGCATACTTCGTTCAGAAAGTATGATGCTGTTGGGGTTTTGGGTCTTCTTCCAGAGCAAAAACTTACAACTGCTTTGCGGATACTTGCTTATGGGGCATCTGCAGAGCAGGTGGATGAGATTGCGCGGATGCGAAAATCAACTATCCTAGAGTGCTTGGTGAGATTCTGTGATGTAATAGAAAATCTCTATAAGGGGGAGTACCTTCGCAAACCTACGACTAGGGACCTCCGAAGGCTTGTACAAAAAGCTAAGGCTCAAAGTTTCCCAAGAATTATTGGAAGCATCGATTGCATGCATTGGCAGTGGACGAATTGCCCAACTGCTTGGCAAGGAGATTATGGGAATCGAAAGGGCCAAAAAATTATAATTCTAGAGGCCATAGATTCATTCGACACTTGAGTTTGGCATGCCTTCTTCTGAACGAAAGTCAAATTTTTCACGCACCAACAATAAAAAAAATTTGAATTGCGCTCGCTGACGTCAGCGTGACGTCACCGCTGACGTCACCGCCTTCGGGCTACAACCCAGTCCAAATTTGCCCATGAACTTGCCCGGGCTGGTTTTGAAGTTTATAGACCATAGTGATTGGGAGTCCAAAGTCAATGTCATGGGATTGCATATAACATTAGTCAAGTATACCGTGCGTGGTTGCAGACTTTTCACTTTCATGAAGCGATTCCGTATTGAAAAATGAAAAAGATTGGCTGAAATTTCATCTTTGATTTTGAAGGCATTCGGAATTGTAAACCGCATTAAGTATAAAGAGGGCCAAGATGAGAGGACCAGACCCCCCTTATTTCATAGCGTTACTATCAAGTGTCTTACTATTCAAATTATCCAAGGAAAATATCATCAAGTCCCTTACTATTCAAATTATCTCAGGAAAATATTTCACCCAAAAAGAAAAACATTAGTCAAGTATACCGTGCTTTGTGTGGTTGTTGTTTGCCGACTTCTCAATTTGCATTGATGTTTATATATACACAAAAATCTGTGAGCAACGGCACATACACAACATGCAAGTGCAGCCTTACAACCTAATGGCTCATGCCTTCCTTCTCTTCCTCTTATTCTCTTGGATTACATCTACGAATATTCATGCATGCAAACACACTGAACGCAGCTCTCTCCTGTCCTTTGCCTCCACTGTATCTTCTCCTCCTTTAAATTGGACGACATCCCTTGATTGCTGTCGTTGGAAGGGCATCACCTGTAATCAAGATGGTTGGGTCACCCATTTGCTCTTGCCTTCCAAAGGGCTCAAAGGAGGTCTCTCTCCATCTTCACTTGGAAATCTCACACATCTCACCCACTTGAACCTTTCCCACAATTCACTATATGGTTCACTTGAAACTCAGTTCTTCTTGTCTTTGAATCGACTCGAGTTCCTTGATTTGAGCTATAATCTTCTTTCTGGAGAGCTACCATTTTCTCTACCATCCAGCAATATCCGGACAGTTGATTTGTCCAGCAATCACTTTCATGGTGCAATTCCATCTTCATTCTTCCAACAAGCAAGCAACTTGACTAGTTTCAATGTCAGCAACAATACCTTCATAGGGTATGTCCCATCCTCTATTTGTCTCCATTCTTCTCCCTTCCTTAGGCTATTGGATTTTTCTTCCAATCTATTCAATGGCAACCTTGCTCCTGGACTAGGCAAGTGTTCCGAACTACAGGTTTTTCGTGCAGGTCGCAATAACCTCTCAGGATTACTTCCAGAAGATATTTATAATGCTACCAAACTTGAAGAAATTGCATTACCTCTCAGTTCACTACATGGGGCCATTAGTGATAAAATTGTGAACCTCACCAACCTTGCAATCCTTGATTTCTACATTAATCAATTGAGCGGCAAGCTTCCTCTCAATTTGGGGAAGCTTTCCAAGTTGAAGTTTGTGACCCTTGATTTCAACCTTTTAGAAGGTGCTTTGCCCCCATCTTTGATGAATTGCACAAACCTTGTAGAACTACGTTTGGGAACAAACAACTTCGAAGGAAATATCTCCATGCTTGATTTCTCCAGACTTAACCAACTTGCTAAACTTGACCTAAGGGTCAACAACTTCACTGGTACGTTTCCCGTAAGCCTTTACTCATGTAGGTCCCTAAAAGCCATTCGGTTGACTGGAAATAATCTAGTGGGACAAATACAAGCTCAGATTCTTTCATTGAAATCCTTGTCCTACCTCTCGCTTGGTTTCAACCAATTCACCAATCTCACGGGGGCAATGAAGATATTAATGCATTGCAAAAATCTTCACGCACTCATGCTTAGTGGTTCCTTTAAAGGTGAGGGAATGCCAACTGACGATGACATGGTTGATTTTGACGGATTCCAAGATCTTCGGGTATTGTGTTTGGTTGATAGTCGCCTTACTGGTCAACTACCTATGTGGTTATCAAAGCTCCAAAATCTAAAGATTTTGCTTCTAAGTGGTAATGAAATAACAGGGCCAATTCCAAGTTGGTTGGGGACTCTTCCTAGATTGTTTTATATCAAGTTGTCAGAGAACAGATTTTCAGGTGA